GCTCTGGCCCAGCTCACACCAGGACATGCAGGTTGCTTTGGGTGCCCTGTGAACTCTCTTTAAGGGTAGTCTGGTATTTGAAGTACAGGGGATTACCCAGGGAGATAAGCTTAAAGGTTGACTAGGTTAAGCAAAAGATTAGTTTGCATATGTAAGATTGAAGCTGGTCTTTTTGTTTTATTTAACATTGCACAATAAAAAGAATAATTGCTCTTAGGCAGGTACAAATCAAGAGTCTGGGGGGGTGTTTTTTTAATAATAAAAAAAGGAAAGTACTGTTTCTACTATTTTTTTTCCATTGTATGGAGATAGCAAAACTGTTTAGTGTTAGAGGGCCTGTAGTGTGTCACTGTAACCAATTGTTTTTCTGCTGCATTACTTTACTTGCTCTTACTTTCTCTGTCTGTTCACTGACATCAGCTAACTCTCTTATGCAATGCTAATGTTTGGCTAATTTTGCATTTATTGCCTTCTGTCACCTCGCCCACATACCAAAGTGCATTCAAAGCTGTTTAGAAGGAGGTGTCAGTTGTGAGCCGATTCCACTTTGCACCACAAGGAAGTTAAGTACTTTCTATGCAGGAAAGAAAAAAAGGCTGGTAAACCAGTGCAGTTTGAATTTTTGTTCATTTTCCTCAGGCTTTCTGTATCTGCAACAGCCTAGGAAAATTTTTTGAAGGAGTAGCTTCAGCCAAAGGAAACGTCCCCTCTGGTGGTTTAAAACAGTTGGGAAAGGTGAATTCAACAGTGTTGTAGCGTAATGCTTCTTACAATGGACAGAAATACTTTCTGTACTGACACTGTTACCAACTCATCAGTGATTCTCCATTGTTTTAAGTGTTCACTAGTGCTAAACTTCTCACAAGTATTTGAAAATTAAAAGAAAATGAGTGGACCCTGCCTGTATGGCTTTTGCCTTGTGGTTTGCAGAAGAGATGCTTTGTATGCAGCTGGGGGTTTGTTTTTTCTGTTTAAAATGGTTTTTGCACTGTTTTTAACAAAGCCCTTGACTAGGCACTTAAGATATTAACCAGCTTCAGCAGATCATGCGTCTGACGGGAACACCCCCTGCATATCTCATTAACAGGATGCCCAGCCATGAGGTGAGACCTGAGCAGATGAGGGGGGATTCCAGGGCAGGTCTTCACTCACAGTGTTCACTGCTTCTATAAATGATGTCCTCGCATGTGGCATGGGGTTGGGCAATTAACTACCTGCTCTTCAGCAAGATTTTTTGTACTAAATGAAGACTTGAGATTTGGACAAGTACATACTTGACCTCAGGCTTCTGAGACTCAGGAGAACCTGGATGTGAGTCGGTTTTGTGCTGTGTGCCGTGTTGTGTGGCTGACCAGCAGACACCGTGCTGCATGTGGCCTTACAGGACTCCAGGGCAGTCAGCTCTTGCAGCACCTCTTTGCTTTCTAATCTTGCATGAACCCCAGTGTCAGCTCTTCCTCTGCTGTCTCAAGTGGCCTTTAGTTGGGAAGGGATAATGCTGATGGGCTTAATAAGTATCAGAATAACTCAAAAGAAGGCGAAGCGAGGAGACAGACCATAATAACAAGTGCTTCAGGATGATGGAAATGTACTTTGGTGGCTTGATTGTATTATACTTCAACAGACCATTTATTTCCACAGGCAAGAAACTACATTCAGTCTTTGTCTTACATGCCGAAAATGAACTTTGAAAATGTGTTTATTGGTGCCAACCCACTAGGTAAGGTTTGCTTTTTAAATGTGCTTTTCCAGAAGCTGAAACCAGTGTGTCCTGGGACGCTGAGACTTTTCCCCAAAATTTAGATTTCCTGCAGTAGTAGCTGAGAACAGAGCTACGTACCATTTTCAAAGTTTACAAAGTATGTGTGGGCTGAGGGAGGAAGAATAATAAGAAATCAGAGGAAGAAATTGGGGATGATGTTGTGGGTCCTAAGAAACTAGAGATTCCTCGTATCCATTGGGCTTTTATGAGCTTGCAGTTCAGAGTAGGGTGTCACAGAGTAGGTGACAAATCAAGAGTCTGATTTGTCTATTTTTATTAACAAAATATTATTAATATTAAAAATATTCCTATTTTTAATAATAAAAAAAGGAAAGTATTGTTTCTACTATTTTTTTTTCCATTGTATAGAGATAGCAAAACTGTTTAGTGTGAGAAGGCCTGTAGTGTGTCACTGTAACACATACTCTGTGACACCATACACGATGGGAAATCCTTTCTTTTGCAGCCGTGGACTTGCTGGAGAAGATGTTGGTGCTGGACACAGACAAACGAATCACTGCGGCTGAAGCGTTGGCTCACGCCTACTTTGCTCAGTATCACGACCCGGATGATGAACCAGTGGCAGATCCCTATGACCAGTCTTTTGAAAGCAGAGAACTTGAGATTGAAGAATGGAAAAGTGAGTTTGGGGGACAGGAGAGAGAGAGAGAGAGAGAGAGAGAGCCAGCCTGCTTCCCTTGCAGTCCATTCCATAGGCTGTGGCTCAGTGAAGCTGTGGAAGTTCAGAGGCACAAAAGAAACTGATAAAAACGTGTTAGTTCTCAGGTCCTTATGCTGAGGGAATCTGTCACATGTGCTGTGCACATAATTAGCATAATCCCTGGTAACTAATAATTATTCTGAGTATACAAACATGTAGGTGACATGGTTGCTCATGTCTTTGTTTTCAAACTTAGGTCTCCTCAACGCTCTGCAAGTCTCTTATTGTGTGTTAGGCTCTGAGAATGGTGTAACCATTCTTTTCTTTATTTTTCCTTAATTTAACCATATTTTCTGTTTAAAACAGCATTAGAACCTTTAAGATGCTTACAGGTTTTCTTGCATGAGGGATGTCTTTAGTTCTGCCTATTAAATTTCTGTCCTGCTTTTCCCACCAGGCCTGACTTACGATGAAGTAATCAGCTTTGTGCCACCACCGCTTGACCAAGAGGAGATGGAGTCTTGAGAAACTGCTCTCTCCTGTTTGTCCCACGTCACTGTGAGGGGAAGGCCTTTTCATAGGGACTCTCCGATTATCGTTCAAGTGCCTCGTCACAACAATATTCTCCTTGGTGGAGGGGTTTTGTGTGTGTTGAATTGGGGAGGGTTGGGGTGGGGGTGGG